GTCCGCTGTTGGTTGGATCGCTAATGATGCTTCAGTCGAGCTGAAACTGATGTGCAGCTGCAGGTCCAGAAAGTCTCATAAAGGCATTATTCAGTGTGTTGATGTCATTTCCACTGAAACAGGAAGATAGGGTGGGATATATCGAACAGCTCCACCCCTTTTTTTAAATAGCCAATAGCGTCAGAGCCCGTCTAACGGAGAGCCTTGGCACTTCCTATTATCCCCGTTGTGTATCACCTTGGTTGCAGTTCCATTAGAATTCCACTGGAGGTGATCACGGGCGAGAGCAGAATGAATGGGAGTCTATGGGCTAAACGGCTAATGTGTCTCTTTCACCTGCTTGTCGTTAAATCAAAATAAATTTTATTGTTGATTCCGCAAGTTCAATATAGATTATAGGCCAAAAGTCGAATGAACGAGTGCTTATGTCCTTTTGATTTCTTACAGGTTAGGCTGTTGTTGGCCAGAACACGCTAGCATTCTGCTATTGTGTGACGTCATCACAGTTTTGAACGGATTTTTAGCACAGATAAGTGAACTTAAAAATGCAATTTTCAGCTGAGTGTATTTTCCTTTTGAATGCAACTTTCAAATTACTTGACAAAAAATTACATCCTGAGACAAGTGGATATTAGGGGGTGAAACCCCATTGACTCCAATTCATTTTGCACTCGACCGCGAGCGCCCCCACATGGACAGAGACGTGTTACTGCAGCCAGTCCAGAACCCGGAAGTAACCCGCCAGTGCCAATTCTCTTCAATTAGACATTCTCTGATAGCGTTTAGTTTATATCACAGCTCGACCAGAGCCGTTGAGCTCAGTAAAGCCGCATTTCTGCTCCATTTCACTTTAAAATACAGCATTCTGTACAGAATTCAAATGGATCCGATACGTTTTGTGGTGTGCGCCGAAATGCGCAAATGATCCGCTCTCTGCTATCGTGTCTCTGGACCGAAGCTGCGGCAGGTTCGCGTGAAACCAGACTTCATTCGCCCCGATGGAAAGCATATTTACACTATCTGAATCGTTGCGTATGTGCATAATGTGCCATTCATCATGTAGAAAATAGGACATGTGTGAACAAGTGTCTGATTTCAGCCACAGCTTCAGTGTCTATTTATAATGTAGGGGGCGGAGCTCCTCAGATTCTCAAAGCATTTGATTGGACAGAAAATCTGATAAAAGGCTAAAGTGCAGAGCGATGTCATCATAATCACTTACTGGACGTTTTGAATGCTTATATCTTCTAAATGCGAATTATCTAGCTTATAGGTAACAGTAAGGCTAACATATTCATATTAAAAGCCCCAAAACACTTACATTTAGATTTCATGGGGACTTTAAAGGTGAAGTGTGCAATTTTTATGTCAAAGTACACTCTCATTGCCCAGATTGATATGCAGACACTGTGAGTATTAACAATCATAGGAATAGAGTAACGCTGTGACACTTTCAAAACATTGATCTGTTTCTTTAAGTATGCAACATCGATTCAACCAATCATGTGAATTTGAGGCGGGACTACCTGCTTGTCTGGCCAATGACAGGATGTTTAGGGAACCTCTTCAAAAATGGTCATTATTTTTGCAATTTATTTTGGTGATGCAGAAATTGCAGTGCCATTCATTTTCAGTGAGAGCTAGTGATGAGTAACAGCAATAATTATACTAAAATAATAGATGGGATTGTTGATTTGTGGATCTAATACTTTATAAAACCTAATGGGGTTACCAAAGTACACACTATTCCTGCCAAAACCTGTGAATCATGTGCAGTATTTTGAGGATGTAAGTGGCACTTAACGCAGGTTGAAGATTAATAACATGTTTTAAAAGCTAATGTGAAAATGCAGGGAATGAAAGAAAAAAAGACACTTGGAGATTTTGTGCACTCGTTTTAAATGTATAAATCGCACAGATCTTTTACCAGTATTTGAAAATATTTAACAATGAGAGATGTTAAAATTAACAATGATCAGCACTACTGTAATGAATAGTGCAAATAACTGTAATCAAAACTTGTACAGAAACACCTGAGGAAAACGAAAAGAACGAGTCTTTCATAAATGTCCATACAGATTAGAAAAGAGAAAGAGAGAGAAAATAGAAACAATTAATGACGCGAATCACGCACATTCATCATGTAAAGACTTATTCCACCGTTACTGTGTCGGACGGCGTTGCTTTGGGGACAAAAACTTTTCGCCATCGATGCTTTGAGCCGACTGTGTCGATAGGGCTGGGCTATAGTGCTAAAATCACAGGCAATTTCACTTTTTATATTTGTGGGTTAAAATATGCAGGACTGGTTTAATCAAGATACACAGTGTTAAACTGACGTTATTCAAAGCTGAATCATTTACACGCACCAATATAACAAATATTTCTACTAAAACAATATTAAAAAAGCACCAAAAGGGGACTTTCAAGAACATTTATGAGTGATAATGCAATGAATCTTTGTTTTCAGTGTTTTGATTCTAACAAATGAAAACTGAATTTGAAGTGATTCAATTGTTAAAGGGATAGTTCACTTTGAAATTAATTTTTGGTATGTTTTATCTTACCTCAAGGGCATCCAAGATGTACAGTAGGTGTCTTTGTTTCCACAGTAGTTTCAATTTTGATATTTTTAGGTCAAACCGTTCATGTCTTTCAGTCATATAATGGATGTCTATGGTCACCACCAGTCCAAATTAAACATGATTTAATGACTCATAAATGTAAAGTACACATTCATGGCCTAAGACACTTACATACACTTACATTTACGAGTCATTAAATCATGTTTAATTTGGACTCCTCTGTGCATGCTCTTTGAGGTGGTGACCATAGACCTCCATTATATGACTGATAGACACGAACGGTTTGACCTAAAAATATCAAAATAGAAAATACTGCGGAAACAAAGACACCTACATCTTGATGCCCTTGAGGTAAGATAAAACATACCAAAAATTAATTTCAAAGTGCACTATCCCTTTAAATGCTGTTTTTGATACAGAAGAATTATGAAACTAGTGCTAACGACACAATCTTTAGGAAACTTAATGGACAACTTAAAAAAAAAGCGCATTAAATGATTGTGCGGTTCACAATCTCCAGGAAAAATCATTGCAACAATATAGTGAATATTCAATATTCCATATATACTGTATAATCGCCCAGCCCTAGTGGCCATACGGTGTCAGTGCAAGTGTGTGTCTCGTAATGCTGGTCTTTGAAACATGGCATGTTGTGCACAACACCGAGGCTCACGACGCAGTCAAAGCATTAAAAAAACACAAGTGTAAAGAATATGAGCACTAGAATCACGTAAAACAATCCTGCCCTGCAAAATGACATAATTCCTGTTTAAAACGAAAGGATTTTGTACAATACGTTTTGCAAAGGAACCTTGAAATAATAACGAAAAAAAAAAAATAATGCCACAAAATTGGACCCAAAATCAAAATATCACGGATGGGGAGAGAAAATGAAATAAAAAAGACAGCAAACGCTTTGGCAGAAGAGGTGGGAAAGGAATACACAATGAAAGGATGAAAGAAAAGATAAATTACAGGTGAGACGTGAAGAAAAGTGGTTTTCTCTTTCGCTCAGCATGGCCCACCATCATATGGTGCTCCTCCCACAGATTCGGGGCTGCAAGTTATTCGTTTTTTTTTTTCCTCACAGAGGAAAGCAGCAAAGAAAAAAGGTGCTCTTCTCATGAAAGTCACGTTTCACTGATTGTCCACGGAAAATTGCGCTGGCTTCTGCCCACCGAGGAGAGCAGGAAGTCTCGGCTCAGAGATATATAATCACAGCGTGTGTGTATATATATATTTATATAAAGAGATCCTTTACAGGAAAGGAGCTGAGAATCCAAGTCAAGACCGTGAGGTTGCGGCCCTGTCTTTGAATCCATGTTTCGTGTGTGTGTTTGTGTGTGCGCATGTTACTCCAGGGTCGTCTGCCCGTCGTCTGGCCTGGTGCTGTGCTCCTGCATGCAGGTTTTGCGTATGACGGGCAGCGGGTGAGCCTCCGTGTTAAACACCCAGTCCTCGAGAGACAGCAGGTCGTCGTCCGAGAACAGCAGGTACAGGTATCTGTGATCACATATGGACGGGGTTAACAAAACTCATGTTTTATTAACATAAAAATACAGCATGACATTCTATTAAAGGGACAATCCACCCATTTGCATTAAAGGGTTAGTTCACCCAAAAATGAAAATTAAGTCATTAATTACTCACCCCCATGCTGTACCAACCCCGTAAGACCTTCGTTCGTCTTCGGAACACAAATGAAGATATTTTTGATTAAATTTGAGAGCTGTATAACTACCACATTGGCTCCTGAGGGACTGCCTCTTGACGGAAATGTTTAAATATCCCAAGTGACTACCGTGGCTCAACTATATGTTTATCAAGCGACGAGAATACTTTTTGTGCAAAAAAACAAACAAAAATAACGAGTTTATTCGACTATTTCTTTTCTTCCTTGTAGGCCAGAAACGAGACTTCCTTAGATTTCCACGACGCGTGCGCGAGAATTGCGATCTGAAGTGGTGTAAGGAGATCGCAATTCTCGCGCATGCGTCGTGGAAATCTAAGGAAGTCGTTATTTTTGTTTGTTTTTTCGCACAAAAAGTATTCTCGTCGCTTGATAAACATATAGTTGAGCCACGGTAGTCACTTGGGATATTTAAACATTTTCTTCATTGACTTTCTGGGCCGTCAAGAGGCAGTCCCTTAGGAGCCAATGTGGTAGTTATACAGCTCTCAAATTTAATCAAAAATATCTTCATTTGTGTTCCGAAGACGAACGAAGGTCTTACGGGGTTGGTACAGCATGGGGGTGAGTAATTAATGACTTAATTTTCATTTTTGGGTGAACTAACCCTTTAAGATTTCCATTGTTAGAAAGCCAGTTTTACTATTGAATGGTCGTGCAACACTCCCCTGAGACGAGAGAAATCCGCTATTTACCCTTTTCACTTCCTCCTACAATGATGCAAACATCGTCATTTTACGTCATTGTTGGAGGAAGTGTGAGAGGGGGGGATTTCTGTAAAGACTACAAGCACTAGATCTCACCCTTTCAAACCCGCCCATAGGGGGTTCGCCACAGTAAACATGACCCGCGTCGTTCTCCCGCGGCCCTCACTCGTCCCGCTCGCCACAGTAAACATAACGAATGGCGACTGTAGAAAGCAAAAGCCGAATCCCGGACATTTTGGGCGATCTCGAAACACATTTTCGGGCAGACTCATCACTAGGGTTGGGTATCGTTTGAATTTGAACGATTCTGATTCCGATTCCGATTCCTTGTTTCGATTCCGGTTCCTAACGATTCTCGATTCCGATTCTTCTAAGAGGCAGGGTCAAAAAAGTTTAGCTAACCTTGCTAACCAACGGCCTTTCTGAAGGAAATACTCCTTCTGTAAAAATACTCCTTTTGTCACAAATTTTGCATTTTGCCGAGATTTCGTTATTTTTAGAAAAGTGAAGCCACACTTTGGATCGCCGACGTAAGGTACTCATGTTCGACTCGCGTGGTTATGCCAACACTTCCGGTAGACGCTTCTTCGTTGGTGTTGTTCAGCGGTTTCTTCTTCCGCTCGGCGGACTGTGAATATCGAAACTAGGAATCGAAATTTTAACTTTTGAACAATTCCGGGAAAAACGAAAAGTTAGTCTCGGTTCCAATCGATACTCGATTCTCGATACCCAACCCTACTCATCTAACACAGTCTCATCCCAAAAAGTCATATAACTGACGTTTTGGGACGTATTTTGACCATACGTCAATATCCGCCTTTTTAGGGCCCCCTTAAACGTCGGTAGATGGCGATCCCGGGCCGTCATACAACTGACGCTTTACCTTTAACGTCAGTTAGGTGACGGGTTAGGTTTAGGGTTAGGTTTAGGTATGGGGTAGAGTTAGGATCCCATAACCTCATCTACCGACGTTTAAGGGGGCCCTAAAAAGGCGAATATTGACGTATGGTCAAAAGACGTCCCAAAACGTCAGATATATGACGTCTTGGGATGAGACCGGGTTGACTCATCACGGAGACTCACTAGTAGCCTAGACTTGTTGTTTAACTACTGCGCTCTGTTACTGGTAGGCGTGGCCTCCTAGGGCAGTGAAGCAAGTGCATTCTGGGAGTTGTTGTCTTTCATCCACATAAGCCAAAAATACATTTTCTGGCTTTTCTCAGTCTAGAAAGCTCCAAATTCAAAAATAGTTTCAGATTTCTTCTACATGAATGACCCATTTTAAATACACATTCAACTTTCCAGAGGTGGAGTATCCCTTTTGACAAGATACGAAAATTCAAACCGTACAGCACACCACCAATTTAACGATAACGATGCATCTCAAGTCCTCTTGCGTTGATCATCATGATCGTTCAAACTTAAGTTCTTCATGAACGGCATTTAGCCACATACAGTATAATGCAAAATACTCCACTACCGTGATTCCACCATTCATTACTAAACCTATAGATGAGATGTCTGATTCAGAACATGAGGTGATCACGAACTTACTTGAGAGTCTCGGACAGGAAGAAGCTTTGCTGCATGTTGTCGTGACTGACTGTAGAGGCGTACACATCTCTGATTCCTGAGAAACCCGCGTCTACGCGACAGTGCTTCTCTAACGCCTGTGAAGACAAAACGCTCAAGTATCATTATTTATTCACAATGTTTATAATTACAATGTGCCAAGAAACAATCAAGGTCATGTGACCCTTTCTTGTATAGTATCAGTAACCTTATATTAGCAGTTCACAACAGTAGGAAAAAAGTTATTGTAAATAATAAAATGCACATCACTATATAATCATGCATTGTTAGGATAGTAAAATAGAAATCATTAATAAATTCATATATTTTTTTAAAGATTTACTGCTAAATTTGAGCACTGAATAAAAAAAAGAGCTGACATGGCAAATGAATGATCTATTAACCTCAAACAAAGGTAGACATCTAGACTATAATTAGGATTGTCTCATGAGTTGGTTTGAAGATGTATTTGACAAATGCATTTGCGTTGCGACCTCCAGCACCCAGTAATTAACATGTCAGTCTGTTGGAGGGAGTGCAGCACTTTAACATGAGCTATATTTAATATAACAGCCATAGCCAACCATTCATTTACCAAAGCTAATGCGAATAAGTGCCATGTAAGACCTTGAGATCATCAACCTCTCGCTGCATAGTCAAATATAGTGCGGAAGGTTGCGTATCTATCTACGAATCTATGTATCTATCTATGTATCTATTATGTATCTATCTATCTATCTATGAATCTATCTATCTATCTATCTATCTATCTATCTATCTATCTATCTATCTATCTATCTATCTATCTATCTATCTATCTATCTATCTATCTATCTATCTATCTATCTATAGTATATATGTATTATTGAATCTATTGGTCTATGAAATCATGAATCCATCCATATATGCATGAACTATTGAATATTTCGGTCTATGAATCCATGAATCCATCCATATACCCATCCGCCCATATGTATGCATTATTGAATCTATCGACCTATGAATCCATAAATCCATTCATTCATTCATTCATCCATCCATCCATCCATCCATCCATACACCCATCTATCCATATGTATGTATTATCAAATCTATCGGTCTATGAATCCATCCATCCATCCATATAAGCATTCATTATTGAATCTATCAGTCTATGAATCCATGAATCCATCCATCCATTCACCCATCAATCCATATATATATATATATATATGTATTATTGAATCTATCGGCCTATAAATCATGAATCCATCCATTCATCCATCCATATATGCATGAATTATTGAATATTTCGGTCTATGAATCCATCCATTCATCCATATATGTATGAATTATTGAATCTATTGGTCAATGAATCCATGAATTCATCCATATACCCATCCATCCATATGTATGCATTATTGAATCTATCGGTCTATGAATCCATGAATCCATTCATTCATCCATCCATATATGCATGAATTATTGAATATTTCGGTCTATGAATCCATGAATCCATCCATTCATCCATATATGTATGCATTATTGAATCTATCGGTCTATGAATCCATTCATTCATCCATATATGCATGTATTATTAAAACTATCAATCAGTCTATGAATCCATGAATCCATCCATCCATTCACCCATCTATCCATATGTATGCATTATTGAATCTATCGGTCTATGAATCCATCCATTCATCCATATATGTATGTATTATTGAATCTATCAGTCTATGAATCCATCCATTCATCCATATATGTATGCATTATTGAATCTATCGGTCTATGAATCCATCCATCCATACACCCATCAATCCATATGTATGTATTATTGAATCTATCGGTCTATGAATCCATGAAACCATCCATTCAAACGTATGTATTATTGAATCTATCAGTCTATGAATCCATCCATCTGACCATCGAAGTAATGCTAAAAAATACACTATGCTCTGTAACCACATTTTTAATATCGGGGTAATACTTTCAGCTGTTGAAAACCCATATTTTTTAAACTAATAGCCTAAATATCCATAACTATTCACATAACATTCTGAATATGTGTTTGTTTGATTGCACCGATGTCTCACACACCTCCACCGCCTCCCAGCCCCACTCCCTGTACTTGGGGTCATGGGTCAAACGCCACATGTACATGTAGCTCTCGATGACCTCTGGCCTCAGGATGTAGTAGCGGTCGCTCAGTCGGGTGGCTGTGGCCTCCGCTCCTCCATCAAAGCGGAAAGCCTCTGGACCAAGTTTGGTGGCTGTTGACATAGAAAACCTTTTAAAAACTGACTCCCTGGTCTTATTGTGGCCTTTGAACTCATTCATCAAAATGAACAAATCTTTTTTCGAGTCATTTCGTTCATTGAATCAACCAAATGACTCGAAAAAAGATTCATTCGTTTTGACGAACGAGTTCGAACAGGAGAGTCACGAATGCATCACAGAACAGAGCAAGGCGAGCATTTGTGCTTATAAAACGTAAACTTTTTTACTTATTTTTGAAATGAGCGATCGTTTCGCTAGATAAGACCCTCATTCATCGTCTGGTGTCGTTTAAAGCCCTTTGAAGTGGCACTGAAACTCTCATTTGGACCTTGAACCGTTTGGACCCCATTGAAGTCCATTATATGGAGAAAAATCCTGGAATGTTTTCATAAAAAAACTTAATTTCTTTTCCACTGAAGAAAGAAAGACATGGACATCTTGGATGACATGGGGGTGAGTAAATTATCAGCAAAAGTTTTTTTTTTTTTTTTAATTAATGTGGTGAAGCTAAATTAACAAATGAAACCTTATTGTAAAGTGTTACTGAGAAAACAGAAAGCATGTCTATTGTTCTCACTAAAAGTGTTATATGCAGTAAAACAGAGATGCTAATAGTCTTCAATCTCCCTCATACTGATTCCTCAGCTTTGTGTTTTTACAGCAAGGAGAAACCTGAGGTAGTAAACACAAAGTGTGTGTGTGTGGTTTATGCAAACTATGATCACCAACCGGCCTGCGAGGACGTCTTTATGAAAACACAATGCAGAACACAACGTAACTAACCCAAATGTGTCCCATTAAATCTAAAATTACAAGCAGCTCCAGTCTGAGGAACACCCTCTTCTGAAGAAACATTTTTAATTTGCATACTGATTTCGGTTTGTTTTGTCTCAAATCCTCGTCTCTTTAGCAATATTACACCACTTCAGCCTGGAACAATATTTAGCATGGCGTGGCGTTTGTATGGGGAAGCGTTATCGTCATCGTCAACATTAACATGACACTTCTCGAAATATGGCACAGCATTTCTCCAAACCTGTTTCATATAACAGCTTCTTTGAGCTTCACAGCACACTGGGGCATATTGTAATGAAGAGAGTATGTTAATAAAAGTAAAACATAAGACAGTATTTCCCAGTATTGCCTGTATTGATTGTCAGGTCTTGTAACGTAAGGCTATTTATTTGGTGCCTCAGTTCTGCTCCTGTGTTGTTTGCAGTTGTTATTTGTATTATTCTGACTCTTAAAATCGTATTTGCATCTCTCATTTCTCATTTTCCCCACATTACAGCATCTTTTAAAAAACATTTTTTATAAGTGATTCTCATTAGATTCACATTTTAATACGGAAAACTAATTTTGCTATGCAGTAGTACAGTAATAAAATAATGAATTATTTAAAGGCAATACAAGAAATGTTGCAATGATGTGTAAATAATTCAAAATGAATGTTTTCACAATAATGATTATTTTGGGGAATGAGAATTCGGGGGGTGAAAATATCTTTGCCATTAAAATAACTAACACAATGCACAGAAATCGTACTGTTCCTAAACTCGTTTGTGTCTTGAAATGTTCTCGACAGGTTTGGTGAGATTTGTTCAGTCGTGTTATATATATTTTAAGAGAGAGATGTGAGTTCAGAAATTGTGTGACGAGATCAAACATGTTATTTCGCTCCTGCTATGTGTCTTGATGAGAGCGTTGTGAAGACCAGCACAATTTGGGCTACTTTTGATCTGAACCAGGTTCGACTTCATCTCATTTGTTTGCTTCTGATGTCTGAGAAAGCAACACAGTTTGAGGAAAGAGGTTGTGATTATCCAGGAGAGTAATGGCCTTCCTCTATCTGAGCGGCAACAGATTGGATTTTCAGTAACACAGACAAGCTGGAAGCATGAAGAGAAAGATAAGACAAAGGGATATTTCTGGGGAAGCTGCCTTTCTACGTTTTCCCACACATCAGTAGGAGTCAAATCCCTTACGAACTAAACACTCCGTTACATCATCCCAGCTTTATTTTACAAGCGTTTACACACTGTTCATTCATATTTTAAATCAGCTTTTATTATATTTTAAGCATGCATTTTATTAGTTTTTTGGTCAGAATTGTGTGATATAAAGACGCAATTGTGTGATGTAAAGTCAGTATTGTGAGATAAAGTCGCAATTGTGTGATATAAAGTCACAATTGTGAGTTATAAAGTCAGAATTGTGTGATATAAAGATGCAATTGTTAGTTATAAATTCAGAATTGTGTGATATAAAGATGCAATTGTTAGTTATAAATTCAGAATTGTGTGATATAAAGATGCAATTGTTAGTTATAAAGTCAGAATTGTGATATAAAGATGCAATTGTTAGTTATAAATTCAGAATTGTGTGATATAAAGATGCAATTGTTAGTTATAAATTCAGAATTGTGTGATATAAAGATGCAATTGTTAGTTATAAAGTCAGAATTGTGATATAAAGATGCAATTGTTAGTTATAAATTCAGAATTGTGTGATATAAAGATGCAATTGTTAGTTATAAAGTCAGAATTGTGATATAAAGATGCAATTGTTAGTTATAAATTCAGAATTGTGTGATATAAAGATGCAATTGTTAGTTATAAATTCAGAATTGTGTGATATAAAGATGCAATTGTTAGTTATAAAGTCAGAATTGTGATATAAAGACGCAATTGTTAGTTATAAAGTCAGAATTGTGATATAAAGATGCAATTGTTCGTTATAAAGTCAGAATTGTGAGTTATAAAGACGCAATTGTTAGTTATAAAGTCAGAATTGTGATATAAAGATGCAATTGTTAGTTATAAAGTCAGAATTGTGATATAAAGATGCAATTGTGAGTTATAAAGTCAGAATTTTTAGTTAAAATCAGAATTGTGTAATATATAGTCGCAATTCTGAGTTATAAAGTCGCAATTTTGAGTTATAAAGTCAGAATTGTGATGTAAAGTCAGAATTGTGATGTAAAGTCAGAATTGTGATATAAAGTCGCAATTGTGTGATATAAAGTCAGAATTGTGAGTTATAAAGTCGCAATTGTGAGTTATAAAGTCAGAATTGTGTGATATAGTCGCAATTGTGAGTTATAAAGACGCAATTGAGTTATAAAGTCAGAATTGTGTGATATAGTCGCAATTGTGAGTTATAAAGACGCAATTGAGTTATAAAGTCAGAATTGTGTGGTATAAAGTCACAATTGTGTGATATAAAGTCGCATTAAGTCAGAATTGTGAGTTATAAAGTCAGAATTGTGTGATATAGTCGCAATTGTAAGTTATAAACATGCAATTGTGAGTTATAAAGTCAGAATTGTGAGTCATAAAGTCAGAATTGTGATATAGTCGCAATTGTGAGTTATAAAGTCAGAATTGTGTGATACAAAGTCAGAATTGTGAGTTATAAAGTCAGAATTGTGTGATATAAAGTCGCAATTGCGAGATATAAAGCCAGAACTGTAAGATATAATTTCTCAATTGTGAGATAAAAAGTCACAATTGCCTTTTTATAAAGGTTTATAAATTACGCTAAAGGGTGCCACGAGTGTTGTATGTAGACGCAATGTCAAAAGCGTCAGTATATGACGCGTTAGGATGAGAACGGGTATTTTCACCAACTCCCGAGAGCATTGAGATATAAACGCGTCTCTTTCAGCGGACCGACCTGAGCGGCTGTAGGACTCGTGACAGGTGTGAGTGATGTCAGCTGCCAGATCCAGGTAGTGCTGCTTCTGTCCCGCCGGCCCGTCATCAGCGCCGATGCCAATCATCCCGCCGGAGAAACAGGCCAGATGCCCCATCTTATGGTCCAGGATGCCCCCTCGCCACTCGGCCACGTACGTCAATCCGCCCGGAGACTTCTGCACCAGGTTCGCCTCGATGGCCTGGACGTTCATAAAAAGCAGAGGCAACATTTCAACCACAATACACGCAATCGCAGATTGAATCGCAGTCGAACATGAAAAACAGATGGATGGACGGGTTTTGTGTACGAATGTTTTAGATTTGTAAAGTGCTGGATTTCAATAAAGCTTGAATCTATGCACATATAAAACTGGGACAGCGTGCATATATTGCCTTAGGTGCCAACATTTATGCATGAAATGTTTTATGTATAGTATAAGACAGTATGCCGCATGCCGAATTGAAGTCAAGCCTCATTGAGATTCTATCGGGACTTTGACACATGAAGGTGTATAAATCTGCCAAAGACTATATGGGAAAAGATCTCAGTGCTGTTTATTTCAGAGAGTCTGTCTCTTCCCTCTGCGTTTTTATGCTTTCGCCTCTTAAGACAAACACAAAACAGCACAAGCCATCATGGACGATCAATAGCGAGTGACTCATCGTTTTGTTTTGCTCTTTCGTTGCGTCCTCCTCTCCCAAACAAGTCCCAAACAAAACTTCTTCAGAAGGTTTTTCTCCATTTTGCATCATCAAATGCATACAACCCACTTACAGTGAACATGAAATCAAAATTCATGAGTTAAACATCAAATATCATCAAGTGTACAAATATTTCACATCGATTTTAAAAAACTATTTCACCAAAAGCATTGTACACATGAAAACATGTTGATGAAAGTGCCCTTTTCTGATTAGAAATGTCATTAATATCTCGGCAGGGCACATTTTTTTCAAGGGAAACGTTTAATGGAAACGCTAATATGCGAATGAAGTGATAATGAGTGAGAATGTTTAGATTTGTGCTCTTGGATCAGGATGAGCGCGAGTCGACGGGCGAATCTAATCTTAAACTAATCTATTTTACACACTCACCGACTGTGCAAATTTGTTTTTTTCTGAACATACTGAAGACCAGAAGTAGTACATGCAACTAAATTGCAAGAAAAATAAATAAAAGCATAATAAATGCCGTTGGTGCGGTTTAGAATGATCAATCAAAGCGGCGAACGTGATGAATGATATTTGCGTACGTCCATGGCGCTGTAGTACATCTTCTTGGCCTCCTCATCCGTCTTATCTGACATCAGGAAGGATTTGATCAGGTACTCGTAGAAACTGTCCCCGAGACCTCCAATCGAGACATGATCTGAGAAAAAGAGAACAACCACACAATTATGATCCAAAATATTTTGAATGAAGACAATCAAGCCCATTTTTAGGGGCAATAAATGATATGTCCAGCTTCAACTTCCTGTTTCAACAGGAAATATGTCAACACAGTAAAGATAACTGCACTCAAAGACATTTGTGATGGTCCTAAAATAAGCCAATACAAACACACACACACACACACACACGCATACTCATGCACGCATGCATATTTATTAGGGCTGTCAAACGATTAATCGCGATTAATTGCATCCAAAATAAAAGTTTGTGTTTACATAATATATGTGGGTGCACTGTGCGTATAATTATTATATATATATATATATATATATATACACTCACATGCTTGTATATATTTAAGAAATATTTTATGTATATACTGTAGATTTATATATAATTTACAGTATATTGTATATAAATATAAATATTCTATATATAAATATTTTTTTTTCTTAAATATAAATGCATGCGTGTATTTATTTATATATATACAAAATAACTATACACAGTGCACCCACATATATTATGTAAAAACAAACTTTTATTTTGGATGCAATTAATCACGATTAATCGTTTGACAGCACTTAACTGTCACCGTCCCACAGGTGGGACGTTTGTCACTATATTTTTAAAACAATAATATCTTAGTAAATACCTTAAATAATATTGACAAACTCTATATCATTTGAAAGCTTACAATCTCTAGTTTCCATATTTGGTGACTGATTTTCAAAATATATTACAGAGGAGCCATAATTTATCAATATAAAACAAGAATAATTTCATACTCATAAGGCGTGTTCAGACCTTTATTTTGAAATAGCATTAAACATGAAAAATCATGAAAACATGGTAGATACCTCAGTTTGTTTTCATGCCAAAAGTTCAAAAGATAGAATCCATTCAATTATTTTGGAAAAAAAAGGTCTGAAAAGTTTGAAATATCAAGAAAAAAATAATAAATTCACCATTTGTGACGTGGCAGCTAGCTATGACTTACATGCGTGTTCTTTGTATGTGTTTCTTAGAGGTTCAATTCATATCAAAATCTGCCAAACTTCCCATGCTACTTCTGAATAGGATCTCTACTTCAGAAATTGTATGAAAATTGTGAAAATAATGGTTCATATCACTCAAAACAGGAATGGAAATGCAGGCGCCCTTATATGGGCAGTAATGGAGTCTGATTGTGCCCTAGTGAAAAAGTTTGGTACTGCGCTCAAACAAAATCTTACTGAAAGCTCATTTTTTGAGATATCAACCTAAAATTTGAAACACAACTTGTTCAGATTTTTGGCTTTGATCTTTCTGCCATTTTAGAGTAGCCCAGGTTTTGAAAATATATATTTTATGTAAAATATGAATAATTAATATTTTTACATTGTACATTTCCATAAACTCAAACTTCTATAACTTTTTTTCTGTTTCACTTTCTTAATTTATTTCACTTCTACAAAAATCTGCCAAATGTCTTCTTTAAAACAAGACCAATCATATGTCTATATTCCAAAGCATTCTTGAATTACAACCATTTAAGTTCGAAATGTGCATTTTCATGTCTATTCAAAAAGGGGGGGGGGGGGGGGGTGACAGTTAACAGGTTAATATATCTTTTTATTTATAATTACATTTAATTTTGTTTCTCCATTTTTGATTTCGTGGTTAAATTTCTCCCAGCAGGTTTCATGATATTCAGTTATTTCTGTTATTCTTACACCAGGATTAGAAGTGAATGGTTTCTATTGATATGCACACCCTTCATTGTGTTCGGTTCAGGGAAGATCCTGGTACTATAATCGGAATCAACAAACATAATGCCAGGAATGTTTGTCTCCGCCCTCCGCTCCATTGACATGCAAATCAGAACGAGTGTGTCGCGTTCTCTTCTCCATATCTCGGAGACTCATTAGGCATTCCCAAGCTACACCAATTAGTGCTGCAGTTGCAGATTACATTCACCCTAATAAAGGAAAAAAAAAATGTTTCCCCTGTTTTTCAGGTGAATCTGAAAGATTCAATTTCCAAAAAGTAATGGGATTTATTATCATTTTAATAACTCTTGGCCGTGGGCTCATGTCCCTGCTTGACAGGAGAGCCGCACTGGCTCAATTGATGTCACGGATGCCAGAATAATTGCATTGTGAAGCTCAAAGATGGAGCTTGTGAGAGCCGCTCTCATGACCCAGTGCACTGATAAACCAAAAATGAAGAACAAAAAAATACTAACAAACAAATGCATGCACACCACACCGGTAAAGAGTTTGGACACACTGCACCAAATGTATGCTTGTTACAATGAAAATACTGAAATATTTTGAACTCTGTGCATTAGAACGAGAAATGCATGTGAATGGCAAAACACTTGGCATCAACCTTGGTGTGAATATTGTGGGAAACATTGTTCACAAATATTTCACGTTGTTCAAGCACATCGTCCTAGGGCGTGCAGAGGCCGTGTGAATCTACAAATACAGTGCATTTGAATATTTGGAAATATTTGTGTTTTTTTAGAGTCTCAAAAAATGTTTCTACAATAAAAGCACAAAATTGACATGCACACCATCAAAGTTGCATTTACACACACCTCCAATCATGGGAAACTATGATCGTCATAATAACAAAAGTTTAATGAGGCTATGGTGCACTTATTTTATTAAGGTGTTAAATGTGCATTGGTGGTATAATCTCAATGTATCTTTCTTAATCAATATTTTTGTCTTGTTTTCCAGGCAAAGCCTTCTTAAAACAAGACAAAACTCCACAACATTGTTATTTAAAAATGATTTTAAAGAGATAATCCACTTTTTTTGGAAACGCCAATAGAGTTAAACAGTTGAATTTTACCGTTTTCGAACTCATTCAGTTGATTTTCTGATATTTCGAAGAATATCAGTAACCAGACAGTTTCTGGTCCCATTGACTTCCATAGTATATTTTTTTCCTACTATAGAAGTGAATGAGACCATAAACTGATATTCTTATAAATATCAGAACATCGTCTGAATGGATTCGAAAACGGTAAAATTAAAAAAAAAAGCCTATTTCCAAAAAAAGTGGAGTATCCCTTTAAATTAAGTTTACTGTTCTTGCTTCATTGGAATTTTTATCATTCAAAGAATAGAAGACATAGTAAGGTTTATGCTAAAAAATTAGCTTCTCATGCAAAATGATCTTTTAAGGATGTTTAGATATTTTACAGGGAAACAAGACAAAAATAGTTTGATATGCCATCCCTGAGATATTACTTACGTTGCACCCAATTTCCACTGATGGGACTCAGGAAGTTGGGATACAGACCATGAGGCTTCTCCATTTTGTTCAACAGCTTTCGGATGTTCATCACCTAACAAACAAGACAAAGCCATAGTTTATTCAATGCCGGTATCCTGTCCTCTCAGTGTAAATTAGTGTTGTCAAACGTACCAGTACTTCTGTGCCAAGTCGATACTTACGGAGTACCAAACTTTTGATTATAATGGGAGTTGCTCATAATTTGAATATGTCAAAATTGATCCATGCATTAAGTATTAAAGGTTTCATGATATGAGAAAATCAAAATTGCCTTGATCTTTGTAACATTAAAACATCCTGCAAGTTTCACAGCTTAAAATGTCCACCTTCAAAAAAAGGATCGATTTTAGAAGAAAAGTTACATATAGCACCTTTAATCAAGCTCCAAAAACGGCACAATTTGATATTGTGGGATTTGTGATATCATAAAGGCAAATTCATTAGCATATGACCGCCTCAAGAGCAAGACATGGACCAATAGCTTTACATAATAGCACCATAAATGTAATTTTTCAGTTAATTAAGTGCATCATCCGGGTACTTTATATGGTTGTATGTTTTAAATGATCCACAAATGACATCAGCGGACCTTATTCAGACCAGAATAATGATCGGAAAGCAAATAATAATGAGAAACTGGAAGAACCCAGGTGAGCCCTCTTTCCAGGAGTGGAGCACGGAGTTAGCAAAAGTGGCATCATATGAAAAAATGTATTTCAATATTAATGATAAGGCAGAAAAATATATGGCGAAAAGGGGAAAATATGTTTAATATATTGCAACTAGATGAGAGCATGGTGTTTATTGTAAAACTATACACTTGACTCATGTGACTCCATGTTATTTTATTTTATTTTATTATTATTATGTAAAGTTGTTTGTAAACATTTTTTTTTTTACTTTATCTAGTTATTTATTTTGGTTTAACTTTTTTATTGTTACTTAAAAATGTATCATCACTATGGGATATGTTAAGATGTCAATTGTAATTGTTTACAATGTAACAGTGGTGCTCAAAACTCAAAAAAAGTGAACACACTACTCACAATATTTATACTAAAAAATATGGCATAGAATAGAGTATAAGTATGAAAATTAAGACACATCTATAGAAAGTCAGAATGAGGGTTGAAAATAATCGTCTTTTCCACATATATATTAGTTTTTTGCTGTTTTTGGGCAAACAAAGTGCACATAGTAAACTACTATAAAAATCAATTTAATGAAGTGTAAGTGAATACTTCCTTTTTTATACTAACTTTTCAATAGACCTTATTCAGAGCAGCGCCATGACGGGTATGAAAGTGAGGCTGTGAGGGATAGACTTACCGCGTCTCCAATGGCATCCGCTGTAAAAAGCGGAATAAAGCTCCTAGATTACTTACAATTTTCCACAACTTACATTGTCGGGAGTTTTTTGTCAACTGCAATTTCTTGGAAAGATGTTTTTCCACTGTTTCATGAGCAGAACAATCCGAAAACACATTAAATAACAGTACAGCCCATTGAAGAGATGCAAGTCTATCCCTCACAGCCTCGCTTTCATTCTCATTAAAAAAACAAAGATGGCGCTGCCGTGAATAAGGCGTATTGATTTTTTTAAACGCAGTGTTTATTTAACTGAACAATATTTGAAGGCTACATGCTAATGTTTTAATGTATTATTTACTTACATTAAATTAATGCTATTAATGATTCATTATATTTGATTTTCAAATAGTACCGAAAACCGTGAAATTTGACTGGTACTGACTACTGAAATACTTGTATGTTGTCAACATTAATGTCAATCCTCAGAAGACAAATGACTCTCGCCTTCTCAGTGAACACTGGGTTTCCAGACAGTTGGGACAGGTGAAGGAACTCCAGGTGCAGCGTCCCGAACTCTGCCAGGATACTGCTCCCGGCCGATGCCCAGCCCCAACTCCAGCTGGTGCCACTGCAACAGAGAGCAAACCAGGCACAGTGAGCACCACCACCCACGCCACACCGCTGCCATGGCAACCAGGCAGGTAACAGTGCGGCCATGGCAACAAAGCACCAAACCATGGAAAGCGGATGCCAGCGCACTTGTTATTTCCCAGGAAAATAAGCGCAGTGGAACTGTTTAACACAGACGTGCTAAAAGCCTTCGCTCCATCCCACACCAGAACATGACATGCTTAATGCAAGATCAATAATGATGCAAGAGGATTGAATAATACAATAAAATATGTTTAACATTCAAATCTATTCCATCTAGAAACATCTTTCTTTCAAAGTTGCATTTACAGTCTGCCAGAATATGTTAATCGTTTTAACAAAATAAGAGGGATCATAAAAAGTGTATATATACTACTATCTTGAATAAGCTATTTCCATATCAGATGCCATGTGATGTCCACATACAGTTTAGCATGGGTCTAATGCATTTATTTTATTAAGGTGTTTAAAAAAATGCATTGGTGGAAAGCATTTATGCTACAAAGTTTGATCTTTTAAGGATATTTACATATTTCACAAAACAATACTGATATTTATAAGGGGCAATCCTCTCAAGATGAGTGCTATAATCATAAAATCATTAAGTGTTAATCTGGAGCGCGTAAAAATCATGTTTTTTTGGTATTTAGCACAAATTTAAGTCTGAATTAAATTAAAAGCAGTCTGTAAGGAGTCCATTGCCACTTTTACAGATGGAGCCATATTATATAACCTGTATATAACAGGTAATATAACTGTATATTATTGTAACCTGCATAAAAGTATTCATTTGCTGACTCTAATCCTACACCAAAGTTCATTTATAGAAATGCAAAGTTCATTTTAAAAAAATTGGTCCCAAAATAGACCCTTGAGGAACACCTGCCCTTACACACGGAGTTTTTCCAGTCAAATGGTTAAAAAAACACTTCAGAACTGTATTACTAAAACCTATACATTTGAGCCAATGCAAAAGAAGACCATGACCCACAGAATCAAATGCTTTGGATAAATCAATATAAAGTGCAACACATGATTTTATAACATCTGATGCAGCAATAATGTGATTGGTGACTGACAGTGACATCGGAGCATTTATAGTACTACGTCCTCGTCTAAAACTTGTTCATTTGCCAAGGATTCAAATACACTCTAAAAAATGCTGGGTTGTTTTAACCCAACTTTGGGTCAAATATGGACTAACCCAGCCGTTGGGTTAAATTTTTACATTACATTTTTAACCCAGCATTTTGGGTTTGTCCATATTTGACCCAAAATTGGGTTAAAACAACCCAGCATTTTTTAGAGTGTACTTAAAGCTGTAATAGACCATCTGGAAATAGTGCAGTTTGAACTGTACATCCAGAGGATCTTTATTTTGATTAAATGTCATTAAAATTTCAACTGTTCTGCTTCTGGACTCACTCCTGCTGCATGGAAAAAACACAGAGCAGAGGAAACATAGAAAGAAAGAGAGAGAGAGATGCTGAATGAACTCGATGCTGAGAGATTTCGGGCTTTGCTCCTCCCTGCAGGATTCATTCGGTGAAACTGTGGAACTAATTCACAAGATTATTTGTTTCTGGCTCTTATTGTGAAAGCGAGCCACGCACCGCTTCCCTTTTGAAAGAACGATCAATAGCGCTGACATCTGGGAGGAAGAGGAAAGTGAGAATATTTTTGTGGGAAAAATCAACCCAAACCAACACAAAACAACTAAGTGTTTATTAAATGAAAGGTGGATCGCTTCACCGGTGGGAGAAATGGCTCAAAGCAGATTTAATATTAAGAAACAGATCATGAACGATGCTAATTATTAAAAAAATTGATTGATTTTGAAGAATTATTGCACATTTATTATTGCCGTCTGCCTGAAATATGCATGCGATGCTGCACTGGAATTTGAACAAAATGAGGTATTAATGTTTTGATTCGTTCAATGCTTCCTGGCAACTTACTAATGTTGTCACAGATTTGACATTCACTAGTTTGTAATAATTAAGTTTTTTATTTATGTTTTTTAAAAGAAGCCTATTATGCGCCACCAAGACTGTATTTATTTGATCAAAAATACAGTAAAAACAGTAATATTGTCAAGTATGATTACATTAAAAGGGTGATGAACTGAGAAATCAAATTTTGAGTTCATCATATTATAAGAATATCCTGTGAGTTTCAGAACTGAAAACGTCCTTGTTAGTCCAATAAAAGCTTTTATTGACACCAGGCTCAGCAAACGGATCGTTTTTCAAAGTGGGGAACTATGATGACAAAGAGGATAAAACCCCACCCCCACAGGAGAAGAAGATCGACGCCTACTTCAACACGGCCGGTTTAGCCCCGCCCACCGATTCTCGCATTACACGTATAGCTAAATAACATAGATGCCTACCTCGTGATGACAAACCGGTTCGAGTTACCGAGCAATACAGAATATTGTGCAGTGCCTGAAGTGAGTCGAAACTCATTATAATATGCAAAACTGTTATCCACTCACAGCAGTGGGCGTTTACTTCCAAGTCTTCAGTGCGAGACGCCTATAAAAACCCTGTGTTTTTCAGCTGGGCTCATAACTAGGGTACAAAATAGCCTATTACTTACTCATTTTGATGTTTTAGAATGCAAAAACCAAGCGAACGTCATAAGTTGACCTCAAACAACAATATTAAATTTTTTTTTGACCCCTTTAAAATATACTCGCGTATAAAACAGTTTTTACTGTATTTTTGATCAAATAAATGCAGCTTTGGTAAGTATAAGAGCCGTCTTCCAAAAACAGTACAAGATGTTAATAATTCTAAACTTTTGACCGGTGTGTGAATGAATAATACATAATAAGAGCGTGTGCGTAGTGACGTGTGTTCGGTCTGTGTCACCAAGACTACCCTGAGTGCCACAACGGGACCCGCTTTCTCCCAGCCCATCTGTGGGACCGGCTCCTGTTACTCATCTAACTGGAATTAGCGCGAGAATCAGTTAATTAAATTTGCCTGCAGCTGTCAGAGCGATCTGGAGGGCTAATGGAAGCCAGGTGGGCGACAGGAGTGCCAGGAAAGCTTCCGCTCGGAAAACAAGAAAGAAATGGAAATATTCGAGGCATATGGCTTTGTGAATGGAAGCGTCTAGCCGGGTTAGGGCGACAGACGGGACGGTGCGCAGACAGGTAGAAGCTGCATGGGATGCTCACCTGCCCAGGTTAATGACTCCTCTGGGAATGCCGGTGGGTGTGTTGAAGGCGGGTAACAACTTCTCGCCCAGCTCCAACACCTTCTGCTTAAATATCTGAAAGATAAAACAACAGAAAACTGTTAACTGCTGTTGCAAACACATCTGTGCAAGTGTCTCTTCAAAATCACACATTTAAAGGACTCATTTTAGAAACGTTTGCCACATTTTACACATGCTATCTAAACTGCCAGTGACAGAAATTAATGCATTTATCAGTTTTAAGTGACGGTAAAGACATTTATAATGTTAAGAAAACTTCTATTTATCAAAGTATCCTGAAAAGAAAAAAAATTATCATTGTTTCCACAAAAATATTAACTGTTTTCAACGCTGATAATAATCAGAGATGTTTCTTGAGCAGCAAATCATCATATCAGAGTGATTTCTGAAGGATCATGTGACTCTGAAGAATGGAGTAATGATGCTGAAAAGTCAGCTTTGATCACAGGAATAAATTATTATAAATTCGTTTTTTTAATATCAAATAAATGCAGCCTTTGTAAAAGAAGATACTTTTTGGAAAAAAAAAAAAAAAACATTAAAAATTAGTATGCAAAATATACAATGATAAACATTCCAAACTGTAGTATGATATAGAATAGAATAGAATAGAATAAATCTTTATTGTCCACCAGGGTGGACTTTTTTCTTTGGCTCACCAAACATACAAGCTAGATAAACGTCACAAACATAGCAAAAGAAATAAAAGGAAAAATAAAATATAAATAAATAAATAAATAATTTAAAAAAAAATACAATCATAGTGAAGATAAACACACTTTAAGTACATTAGGAGAACTCATTTGTTATTGTCACTTGGTTTGGTTAAGGATACTAAGCCATCACATGACTTAATTTAGTTGACTTAATGATCAAATAATGCCTTTTAGCTGTTCAAACTTTTCCTTTTGTAGCATGTGCAGAAAACTCAATTGAAAACTCAATTCAAATGCAACTGCTGTATTTATCAAATTCACCCAGAATGGACGTCCAAACTGCCTTGAACCCACACAATCAAGTGTTTTGTGACAAGGTCATCTATAAACGTGAATTAAACTAGACAGGGTGCAGCAGAATGGAACCGTGTGTTTTCAACGCTCATGTCGGCTGTTACACAAAGTAAGACGGCTGCAAATACAGTTGACGACAGAGATATTTCTCTCTAAGCGCAAAGGCAAGCACCACTTTTATTGCTCTGATTTAGGTTTAGGGATTTGAACAAACCTCTAAATCTAAGAATTAAACTTCAATGTGCAACTCGGTCCAAACCAGACTTTTGATTTTCACCTGGTGAGCGATAAAAAGGTGAAAGAAAAAAAAAAATCCCATAGATTTACGCTGAAAGAAGCACCAGACTAGAATATCACAGGGACTTAAAGGTGCAGGACTCTTTTTCATACGGTAAAACCACTCAGAATACCTTAGCAACAGCACAGGAAAGCCATGGAAACCACAACAATGCCTTAGCAACTTATCATGGTAAAAAAAACAACACTGATCTTCAGTGCTAGAATACATTATTAACCCGAGTTAATGTGAGCTTGCAGACTGTATTGAATGTGATAAAATGATACTGTACTGCAAAATTGCTGAAAACATCTTTCTATTGAGTTGTTCTTGCTGCATGTGTAAACATACACTGCAATATTGTAGGACGAATGAGCCAAAACATTCAGCGCAACCTGTTTAGTCTGATTACAGAATTAATGATTCTTACGAGTCGGTTCTTTTAATGACTAGTTCGAAAATACTCACTGAACTGAACTGATCACAGTGGCAACTAAATACAAATTTGACTCAATCAATGAACTGCAAGTTACCATTATGTTCATTGATGCCTGTATAAAGCGTTAATTTAATATCAATACTGACTAATTGTCCATTTGACACGCTGTGTTGTTAAATATGCACATTTAGTGTCATTCAACATATCATATATATATAAATAAATTATAAAAATACAGCATATTGTGTGCTTGGCCATCATCAAGTGGTGTTTCAGACTGGACGTGCTGCGATGATGATAGCTCAGTTCACAACGACGAAACACACAGATCACTTTGGTCTTGTCAATCGACCATTTGGCAACTTTTTAAAAGTAAACTTTCAAATTCAGAATCTTATAGACCCCTTTTGCGCCGACGTCACAGTTACGTCACGGCGCTAGCTGGAGGCAAAACAAAGTGAAAACTGGAGGCGGCCAATACAAACCAGCACAGATTCGGCTTCATAATAAGGAGCTTAAATAATTGTTACTATTATTAAATGTCATCTTATTGTGTTGTTTGGTGCAAGAATTGCTGAAAAATGAATATGCTGTATCTGGAACTTTTATTTCTAGAAAATATTCACAGATCATTAAAATCGCACTGTAATGTCACTCTTTACATTGTCGTGGTCTCGGCGCTGGCTCGGCAGAACTGCGGATCGTACACACAAGTCTTGTACAGGACCATGTAGTAGGGCTGCACGATTAATCGAAAAAAAATCACGATCTCGATTCAAACATAAATGCGATCTCATTTCTTAATGATGGCGATTCACTTCCGTGTATTTCCCTGCATTCAGATCATGCTGCATTCACGCGTTATATTGGTCACACTCACACAAAAACAAAACAATAATTGACAAATCAATCATGCGGACGTTTCATCAGGGAATGTCTAAATTAAAGTTGTTGCACGTGAGCAGCGCATATTTTTTTGGGGCTTGCATGTTAATCAAAGTATTCACCGGGAGCAGGGGCAGCGCGTGAGCAGCAGTGAAACGCGCGCTCAATTAAAGTGAAAGCACACTTTTGAGGGACAAAATTAATATGATTTCACTCAAAAAGTAGTTTCACACAATGTCTAGTAAGTTTCAACAAGAACTGAAGTACCTTAAAACTTATATAAAAATAATAGCCGAGTCCCATAGACGCCTGTATCTTTTACACGCCTGTGTGGCTGCAGGTTTGGGTAAATAAAAGGGCGGGTCTGTTTTTTAATTTCGGTTTGTTAATCTTCTAAAACTGAAATAGATCTGCTGCTTTTTGGAGGCCGCTTAAGCACATATTAGTCCCGCCAAAGCCTAGTTTGATCGGTGAGTGATGATGTAGAATAGAAACTGCTGCGCTTGAAAGGGCAGAGAGAGAGAGAGAGAGAGAGAGAGAGAGAGAGAGAGAGAGAGAGAGAGAGAGGTCTTCGAACAAAACGAAAGTTTGGAAGACCGCAGTTTCACATAGAGCATTTTGGAGAGTTTTAGATATGAAGACTCAAATATTTAGAAGATTTAGGCTACCGATTTAAACTTGTTTGTAATTATTCAGTTTGGGTGAAAATGTGATGTCTGATTCTAAAAAAAGCTATAGTAAACTAGCCAGAAAATATTAAATATAGCTTACACTTACTTTTAGTTCATGACAGTAATACACAGACAGCTACATAGGCTAGCCCCAAAGAACCAGCTTAAACAATTTAGATTTTTTTTTTTTGTTACTGCACTTTATTAGACTGTCTTGTGTTTTTTTTTTTTTTTTACTTGAGTGCAATACATTTTGGATGGAAAAAAAAGAGAATCGTGTAAGAGAATCGAGATCTCAATTCCCATGAAGAAAAATCGTGATTCACATTTTAGCAAGAATCGTGCAGCCCTACCATGTAGGCATCTAAAGATTTATATGCCCTCAGTTTCTATTTACGATCGGTTTCTCTAAGGTAGGTGTAGAAGTCAGGCCACTCAACCGAGGTAACGTACGTTAATCCTGTCAGATCGTCCATGCATTGAGTGAGCGTGTCGGCTACAGGTCGGCCAATCTGGTTCGGTCCGTTAAAAATAGCTTTTGGAAATAACAATCACGGTCCTGGACACTGAGTGACCTTACACATTAAGATAATATCGGATTTTCTCCAGTCATTGTTCAAAAACAAGCTAACAATCCTTGCTAATCCCTGCCGTAGGGATCTTTCTGCCTCCACCTAAGCTCCGCCCACAAAAAAAACGTCACCATGTTTACCAACTGTAAAAGGGTCTATTGGCATCCATTTCGGCGTCTCGCACTCATCATCCACTCAAAACGTAACGTTAACCATTTGAACGGTTAGCAAGTTAGCAACAAGTGTGTTTCCGGTCCAGCTAGATCCGGAGCAAGAACAGGACGCGGAATGTTTTCAAAACTTTTTGGATGCCAAAAGATTTATATTGGCGGCACTGGTAATCGTCACAGCGGCAAAAAGTTTAACTATTTTTAATTTTGACCATGGTGTGCTTGCGCTTTAGTCAACTAAGAAACATCCTCGCGCATAGCATTGAAATCAGTTTCATGACGCATGCCGCATCCTGTTGCAAAAGCATGTGAAAAAACGACAAAGTTTGCTATGCCAAAAAGACCATTAATCTTTAACACTGTAATAACGTTAACACTGTAATAACGCATTTAACTGACAGCCCTAATATATATATATACACTCACCGGCCACTTTATTAGGTACACCTGTCCAACTGCTCGTTAACACTTAATTTCTAAGCAGCCAATCACATGGCGGCAACTCAGTGCATTTAGGCATGTAGACATGGTCAAGACAATCTCCTGCAGTTCAAACCGAGCATCAGTATGGGGAAGAAAGGTGATTTGAGTGACTTTGAACGTGGCATGATTGTTGGTGCCAGAAGGGCTGGTCTGAGTATTTCAGAAACTGCTAATCTACTGGGATTTTCACGCACAACCATCTCTAGGGTTTACAGAGAATGGTCCGAAAAAGAAAAAACATCCAGTGAGCGGCAGTTCTGTGGGCGGAAATGCCTTGTTGATGCCAGAGGTCAGAGGAGAATGGCCAGACTGGTTCGAGCTGATAGAAGGGCAACAGTGACTCAAATAACCACCCGTTACAACCAAGGTGGGCAGAAGAGCATCTCTGAACGCACAGTACGTCGAACTTTGAGGCAGATGGGCTACAGCAGCAGAAGACCACACCGGGTGCCACTCCTTTCAGCTAAGAACAGGAAACTGAGGCTACAATTTGCACAAGCTCATCGAAATTGGACAATAGAAGATTGGAAAAACGTTGCCTGGTCTG